TGATCATTTCCACTCGCTCTGAGGTCACAAGGAGGTGCCCTTCCATGGGACTGAGACTGGGCACTTCGTTTCTGACCTGAGACGGAGGAATTCACACCAGAGATGGTGGCACCGGATGGCACAGCGGCCACTCCATTGCTGGTGAAGAGCAGCAGGGATCGGAGAAACCTACGGCTACGTTCCCATAGCCAGACTGATGGCATCATCCACTGGGGTCCTTTGGAGGTCTCAGTGGATGATGCCATTGCTCTTGCCAGGCTCTGGGAACATAGCCAGATAATTCTCGGATACCCTCTGCTCTCCACAAGCCACCAATGATGGGGAGTGGGGTGGGTTGAAAGTTGATGAAGGAGGAAGAAAATACCAACCTCTGCGATGATGAAAAATTTACAGACACTAGCATAAGGTGCTTGGGTATGCCACTAATGGGATGCCAGTCATAGATTGCATCCTGAAATTGTAGGGTTAAAGTTGTTGTTGGCGGAGAGTCCACTAGCAATTTGAAAATGAACCAGGTGGGGAAAGCTTAGAATTATAGAATCATAAAATCTATAGAGTTGGAAGAGACTACAAGGGCCATCCAGTCCAATCTCATTCTGCCATGCTGTCAGAACCATGCCTTATTGATACACAGAGTTCCCGAATTTGCTCAAGTTTGACACATGCAAAAAGACACAATCAAAGCACCCATGACAGATGGCCATCCAACCTCTGTTTAAAAACCTCCAAAGAAGGAGACTCCACTACCCTCCAAGTCAGCAGTGTCTTCCATTGTCAAACAGCTCTTACTGTCAGGACGTTCCTCCTAATGTTGAGGTGGAATCTCTTTACCTGCAGTTTGCATCCATTGCTCTGGGTCCAATTCTCTGGAGCAGCAGAAAACAAGCTTGCTCCATTCTCATTATGACACCCCTTCAAATATTTAAAGAGGGCTATCATATCCTTCTCTTCTCCAGGCTAAACATCCCATGCTCCCTAAGTCGTTCCTCATAGGGATTCATGGTTTACAGACTCTTCACCATTTTGGTCACCCTCCTCTGGACATGCTCCAGTTTTTCAACCTCCTTTTTGAATTGTGGTGACCAGAACTGGACACAGGATTATTCCAGGTGAGGCCTGACCAAAGCAGAATAGAGTGGCACTATGACTTCCCTTGATCTAGATACTATACTTCTATTAATGCAGCCTAAAATTGCATTGGCCTTTTTAGCTGCGGCATCACACTGTTGACTCATGTTCAACTTGTGGTCTACTAGGACTCCTAGATCCCTTTCACACTTATGGGAGATTATTTGTTTGTCCTTAAAGGAGCAGAATAGCTGAATAGAGTGGCACTATTACTTCTGGACCAAGCTCAGGAAAGCCTGTGGGATGCTGCAAATCATAAGAGTGCATCTAGGTTCAAATTTCTGAAGCTGCCTGGATGTTCAGTTCCTCCCAGCCTAACCTATCCAATTTCTAGTCTGACAGACCTAGGGATGGCACTCTTGTCTCCTAAAAAGGAAACGCAAACATAGTTTTAAAATCCTCTGCCTAAACGGCTTTCTCTCTATATACAGTTGACCCTCCACATGTGTGGCTTTGATTTTTGCAGATTATTTGGGGGTTTGATTAATATGTTATCTCTAGAAATTTCTAGCTTCTCCTGCCAGAGGTTGACCACAGAATTGTGCTGGAGGACCTAGATATTAATATAGAAAACACTTCCATAAGCATTTGTAGGTCCTCCAGCATGATTTTATGGTCAACGTCTGGCAGATGGAGGACACAGAAATCCCTAGAGAGGTCTTCTCTTAGGTTTAAAAAAAGTCTTTTTTTTTTTAATGCACGGTTTTCCCCACTTTCATGGGGATCCTGTGCCCCTAACCCCAGTGAATGTGGAGGGACCAGTATAGATTGCTAATCCCAAAGTATAGGCAACGAAGAACTTTGTGGTACTCTTTAGCTGACTGTGTCATAAGGTTCCACAAACCAAAAAGTGCCAGCTCTACTTGGCATGTGCAGAGGTCCTTTGCAAAGTGGCATCCCTGGCTATGATCCTGTTCACTGGTTCCATATTTAAAATTACACTGGAATTGCTAGGTCAGCCCATCGCACACAGCCGGTTGTGCAACAGGCAGCGCAGTCATGCAGTCTGTCATTGCACAATGATCAGTCCAACTTCCACCCGCCTTTAAGGGATGCACTGAGGTTCCTAGCTGGAGTAGAAGCCCTTGCACAACAAATTACAATTGTCTCGGGGCTTGTGCACACTCTGAGTAGGATATAACCATTGTTCAATCGCAAAGAAAGTACAACTGCTTGCAGAACATCATTGACACCCATGGAAAACCACAACAGGTTTTGGCGCATGGTTACCTTCCCATAGCTATTTGGTCTTTTAAAGTATGAGAGGGATTTGTGTGCTGGACTGGGGCTCAAGGAGACCATGGTTTGAATCCCTACTCATCCAAGGAAACCCACTAGGCAAGTCACACTCTCTCAGCCTCAGAAGAACACAATGGCAAACCTCCTCTGGAGAAATCTTGCCAAGAAGACAAATTCTTGCCAGATATTGGAGTTGACTTGAAGGCACATAACAACAACACAGAAGTATGACCGAATGACAGATGTCCTCATCTATCGACAGAAGAAGGACAGAAATCCAGCAAGAATAGAAATGGAAACCTTCCCCTGATCCTTTAATGGAGGTCAGCCTGATGCTGAATGTCCACCAGTAGATGATGTCCCTGGGAGCCATTTGGAATGACATTTTATTAAAAGTGGGCATTTCCTTTCCATCTTGTTCCCATTCTTCCATTTCAATGCATCAAAGTCCTAAAATTCTTGCAAGTAAGCAATGCTCCCCTCCATCCCCTCCAGCAACTTGCTGACTTTTCCATCTCTCATTTTTGTCTTCTTTTTGCAGTGTAAAATGTCAGATGCTCAGAACAGAGGCCAGGTGAAAAAGACTCCAACCTTTGCTAGAGATCTCCCAGCACCTGGGATGTAGATGCTGCTTATTGGCAGTCCAGGCTGTGAGCTTTCCTGAGGATCAAGAAGGGTCCAAGGATATCCTCTGAAACAACAGAAATCCCCTATATTTGATTGTCATAGCCTAGCTTCTTATGAATGGCATGGTGCAGCCCTCAATAGGCAATACTGTGCAGATGACTTGCAAAAAGGAGATCATAATGAGATGAGCCTGTTCCATTTATGAAGCCACGTTGCCAGGGATAGCAAACCAACAGTCCTTTTTCATGCCTCTCAGTGACAGAGAGAGGAATTAAAAGTATACGTATGCTTTGTATGCAATGCAAAGTATGCATTGTAGAGAAATGAAGATGCCAAACTTTGGGAACAGGCCAGCGACTAAAGCGAAGAAATGACAGACATCCAGACAATAGGACTGAAGAGCAAAGCTAAGCTGAAGATAGTTTTTGTGGGTTTTTTGCCAGCATCTGTGGCTAGCATCTTCAGAAAATGCTGGAATGGAAGAGAGTGGGTATATATTCTCTGAAGATGCTAGCCACAGATGCTGGTGAAACGTCAGAAAGAAACTCTTCTAGAACATAGCCACACAGCCCGAAAAACCCACAAAAACTATGGATGCCGGCCATGAAAGCCTACGACTAAGCTGAAGAGATCTGTTACATTATGGTGAGCTTAAAAAAGACATGGGCAAAGACACCAAGACTCATGGTTTAGCCATCAAACCATTCTGTCATTGGGTCAGCATCACACTGAGTCTCTGTGTAACAGAATTAGGGAGAAAGGTGAGATATAAATCCTCTAAATAAATAAATAAAAATAAATAGGTGCATTGTTTGCACAAGATCCATTCCTTGATCCGGAGAAGAATGTCCTGGGTAACATCCATGTCCAATGCAGAGCTGCTGTTGTGTTACTACAACTGCATTTGCACTGCCGAAATAATGCAGTACGACACGGCTTTAACTGTCGTGGCTCCATACTATAGAATGCTGGGATTTGTAGTTTGCAGTGGCACCAGAGCTGTCAGAGAGAAGGCTAAATATCTTACCAAACTACAAACCCCAGCGTTCCATAGCATAGAGCCATGGCAGCTAAAGCGGTGTCCAACAGCATTAGATCTGCAGTGCAGATGCAGCCTTTGATGAGGTATAGCTAGTCCACCCCAGGTTTTCTGGATGGTGAATAATAATAATAATAATAATAATAATAATAATAATAATAATAATAATAATACAACAATTGGTCTTTGGCCTGAGATAGGGAAGGAACTAAAGAACAACATCTGAAGGGTCTTGCTTCTGAGACCTCAGAAAACCGAAGCACAACACTAAGGATGTGAGAAATCCACACAAATTTCTTCATTCTTGGTAAGAAACAGTGCCTCAACCCATTCGAGAAACCCCATTGTGAAAATGGCCAACTGCTGTAAGATTTTTCTTACTTCTGGATTCCCCCCCCCCCCCCCATAATAACAAATTCATCTGGGCAAAAAGATCTTTGCTTTTTTCACCTGAAGCTGTAAACGCACAACGCTTTATGCAGAAAATGGCATTTTGTGCACCATTTTCTGCAGGAAAATGTTCTTTTGTACGAAACCCAAGACTTTGAAGGAAATTAAATTGTCATTCAAAATTTCAAAAGTATGAAAAGTAATTGAAAGTTATGTATAATAATAATAATAATGCAGTCTTGTCCAGCAAGGGGCTAAGTAATATTTGCAACTCTGTACTGAACATGGATGTTGCAGAGCAACACCATTCTAACGTTTTAAAGAGTTTTTAGTCTTTTTATTAATTAATCAATTAATAATAATAATAAAATTTATTTGTATCCTGCCTTTCTATATAATACAACCGGGGAGGCGTTTTATTCTTGAGGTGTGAACTGTTTAAAAACTGTGTTGTTTAATTCTATTTTTAATGTTCACTTTTTGTATGCTTTGTAAATTGTATCGGCCTTTTAAATTATGAGCTGCTTTCCCTGGGCTGAGAGAGCATGACTTGCTCAAGGTCGCCCTGTGGGTTGCATGGCACAGCAGGGAATCGAACCCTGGTCTCCAGAGCCGCAGCCCAACACTCAGAACCACTATTCCACACTGGCTCTCAGACATTAAAACCATAGAATCATAGAGTTGGAAGAGACCCCCCAAGGGCCATCCAGT